GAAGTGGCCTACGAACTTGAGCTCCCGGAGTCTTTCAGAATACACCCTGTGTTCCATGTCTCTCTCCTGAAACCATCCAGACCAGATTCCTTCCCGGATCGCCAATCCAAACCTCCTGAGGCAGTCACCATAGGTGACCAGGAGGAATATGAGGTAGAAACTATTCTCAGTTGCCGAAAGAGGGGGGCCAGACGCAGTTCCTGATAAAATGGAAAGGTTATGGCCCTGAGGAGAATTCTTGGGTACCCATCCAGAATGTTCACGCCCCCAGGCTCATCGGGAATTTTTTCGTGGCCACCCGCGGTGGAGAGATCAGTGGGGCTCCCGGAGGGTGCCCATGGGGGGGGGCAATGTCAGCGATCGCGGCGTCCTGCCGCCCGCGCATGCGGGAAGCGACGCTGGCGACGGCTCACGCCGGGACACAGCACTAGGTCCCGGCGAGCCGTGGATGACAGGATGCCGCGCATGCGCAGTGGACCCGCGGGGCGCGCCTCGGGCGGCCAATGACAGCCCGGGGGGCGCGCGTCCCGAGCGGCCAATGACAGTGCAGGGCGCAATATTTAAAGATGCCCTGCACTGTCAGTAATCGCCGCAAGGTCTATCTGAGTTCCTGAGTCCTGTACCTGTGTTTTTGACCCTGATTGATCCTGACTACGCTGCCTACTCCTGTGTTGACCCGGATTGTCCTGACTACTCTGCCTTCTCCCATCCTGACCCCCGGCTTGTTTTGACCTCTCTACGGACTGACTTATCCTGCTGACCCTGCGTGTGACCTGACGATTCTCCGCCTGCCGATTCGGTACCTCGCCTACCCCACGGGACCCCGCTCGTGATCCATCCTGCTAGGTCCTGCCGTCCTCCTCACATCTGGCTCTCCCGGTACCAATACATCCCCGGAGGTTGCCCCTGCCACTGGTGGGCCTGCTCGGAGGTCGTGACCTGGTCCCGGTCTGGTTTCAAGTCCATCCCCACCATCAGGGGCCCTGGTGAAAGCACAGACCGGGACTTAGACTCCACGCTTGGTAGGTCTGTCAAGTGGGCAGCCAGGGGCACCACCTGGCGGGTCCTAACAGCACCGTTGATGATAAGCCACATTATAACACTGAGAGGTAGTAGCACCTGCTTTCATGTATTTAAATGTTAAATTGCGCCTTTTTGCGATATGGTGAAAACAAATGTACACAAAAATGTAAATAACCAAATTTCTCAAAAAATCTGGAGGTTTTCATTTTTCCCTTATGGCCTCCAGAATTTGTAAATGGCCCACCAAACCATACATTTTCAGAAAGCACATGACCTGTAGAATAAAAAGAAGGTCAAGCGCTCTTGGTATGTTTGTTTATCTGGTACACAAATATGCGACTTCTCGGTGTCAAGGCCGCATATTTGCATACTGCCAGCGCCAAGAAGTTAAAGAGCAACTGAACTCTGGAAATTGTGAACAAAAAAGGAGGGCAGAAGACAAAATTACTTGTCACTAGTATTTCATTTTTTCTTACTGCAGCTGTTCGTTCTCAATTACTGACTTACCATACCTTGGTCATCTTGGTGGAGAAGTGCACTACTATTTTTTAGAAGGAATTTCAGACAAAAGGTTACATTTTCAAGGTGTTGCTTAGACAAATTTAACAGTTCTAAATAGCCATCTCAAAATTTAAAATCTGTAAATAGGCCCCACATAGTCCCTGATGGTGATGTGAGATAATAATGTGCATGAAAGAAAATAAAGCCAGAACATATCCAGAAATGTTGATACCTAGCACTGAACAGACCTAGATAGAAGAGATAAATAGATAGGAGACAATATTTGTTCATCCTTGATTTAGGCTTCTTTCACACTGTTCAGTTTTTCTTCCATTTTTGTGTTAAAAAAGCGAAGAGAAATGCATGACCATTTAATCCTATGGAAGGCCTCACATTGGTCAGTTGCGGGTCCGTTGCGTTTTTCAAAGTCCTGCAAGCTGCGTTTTTTGGTGCATGTTTGGTGCACCAAAAATGCACCTGCCCATTGAAAGGAATGGAAAACGCATCAAAAACACACCCGCAGTTGTATTTTTGGTGTGTTTTTAGAGTCGTGTCTTTTTTCATAGATAAAACGCACTGGTAATGCAGTAAAAATGCTTATGCGCTTTTACCGCATTTTTGAAACGGAGCAATGTAAACGTAGCCTTAATATTATGTGTATTCTTCATTTTCAGAAATCACATCAGGATAAAATTACAATGCAATATAATTATGTTGAACAAAAAATAATGTCCAGACACAGGTATCAACACTCTGCAAATGGTGAATTAGAGAATACGTAATACCTGTATCTATTCAGAACCTGAAATTGAATTCCAGCATTGCCTGAGAGCCCGGGTCAGTAGGGGGCCCAGTGACAGGCTCACTGTTGGGCACAATTCACTAAGCGGTATCTTCCGAATATGCGGTAGGATACCGCACAGCATTTTTAAAAAAAAAACATTTGAATTTCACCAAAAGACACTACTAAAATACTGCATGAGTTACTTTATCAAGTCATGCGGTATTTTAGTAGTGAAAACCATGCGTTAATGTTTCAGCTGTCAGCGGGGTCCCCCACTGACATGCATGTAAAAGAAAGAATTGCCGGCAAAAAAATTTTTTTTTAAAAACAGCGTGGAGTCCTCCCCTCCATCCATATCAAGCCCTTCAGGTCTGGTATGGATTTTGAGGGGAACCCCCATGCCAAAATGTAAAAAAAAAATGGTGTGGGCCCCCCCCCCCCCCAAAATCCATACCAGACCCTTATCCGACAATGCAGCCCAGCAGGTCAGGAAAGGGGGGGACGAGGGGGGGCCCCCCCGAACCAGACCAGGCCACATGACCTCAACATGGGGGGTGCTTTGGGGTGAAGGGGGTTCCCCCCAAAATCCATACCAGACCCTTATCCAAGCATGCAGCCTGGCAGGTCAGAAAGGGGGGGTCAAGCAAGCGCCCCCTCCTCCTGAACCATACCAGGCCATATGCCCTCAACATGGGGGGGGTGCTATGGGGGGACAAGAGCCTCTTCCCCCAAACCCTGGCCTGTGCTTGTGGGGGTCTGCGGGCAGGGGGCTTATCAGAATCTAGAAGTGACCTTTAGCAAGGTGGCCCTTAGATCCTGGCCCCCCCATGTGAATGAGTATGGGGTACATGGTACCGCTACCCATTCACAAAAAAAAAGTGTAGTATGAAAAAAGACAGGAGACAGTCTTTGCCAAGTCCTTTATTAAAAGAAGAAAAACAAAAGAATGTCCCCCTAAGTAGATCCAATGTCAATCACAAAGCCAGCCGCCGCCACCGCTACCTGAAAAACAAATGCTGGGTCAATGATGTCACAAGGAGGTGGGGCCACAAGCGTGATGTCACTAAAGGGGGCTTCTAGACTCCAATAAGCCCCCTGCCTGCAGACCCCCACAACCCTGGCCTGTGGTTGTGGGGGTCTGCAGGCAGGGGGCTTATTGGAAGAGGCTCTTGTCCCCCCATGTTGAGGGCATGTGGCCTGGTCATGGGGGACCCCATGATGTTGTTTTATTATTTTTTTTATTAATTTTAATGCCCTTTCTATGCAGCTGAGCTGCAATATGTACGTGGGGTGTTGTGTGGGTGTGGCTTTGGCTTGAGTGTATTATCTCTTTGCCCAGGGCACCATGAGTTGTCAGTCCGCCCCTGGTTAATACTAAAGATGTAATGGATAACTTGTTGGTCATTATCAGTCACCTAAGTTCAGGTTATACATTGCTACCTGATATTAATTTTTCCCCTACAATTGGGAGGAAGGAGGAAGAGTGGACAAACTCCCGCTCTGGGAGAATAGTGAAGATTTTATATGAAGCATATGAAAGAAAATATATGTGCAGCCCTGATTTAAAGTAGTTGTTAACCCCTACATATACCCAGTGATGTGACTGGCCTCAGGTGATACACAAAGATTAAACATAAGTTGTACCTGTCTATCTGCAGTCTTCTATTCTATTCTCTACATGCATTCCAGTCCATTTATACAGTTTTCTGAGAGTTCAGAAAAAAGGGACAGAGAGCTGAAGTAACACTGTGCAGAGCTCAGTGAGGGAAGCTCTGGGAGCTGATTGGAGGGAAAGGACACACTCTCCTCCACATAGCTCTCAGGAATAGAGCTGAGGCTATCAATCAGCTAGAGGTCCCTTCCTGTCATCATTTTTCTCTTGGTGTCAGGAAAACTTGTCATAAGTGATTCATGCTTATAGCATAGGAATGAGGCAGCAGACAGAAATGACACTTAGTGCTCTTAATTGAGACTGGTACACACTATACAGGGATACACTTTGTTCATATTTCATTTATGAGGTTTACAACCACTTTAAACCTGATAAATATCTATTCTGTCTAATGTACTGTATTTTTTTTTTTTATAGACAATAGGACCTTATAATTTGATAAACTGCTAGGCCATGTCTTCTAGAAACACATTAATACTAATATAATAGTATATTCTTTTGAACACAATGAATAACCTTGATTCTGGTACTCAGTGCTTGGTGCTTGTTCTTCCTAATTTTCTAACATTTAAGGAATATCTATGGTATTTGTAATAGACTTAAATAGAGTAGGAGATGGGTTAGAATCTGTCAGGTTTTTATTGCAGGGCGACTCTTTCCATTTGTCACAGTGACCATTTTTTACCAGGACAAAAAGTGAAGGAAAATCCAAAATGTTGCAGGTGTCACTAAGACAAGAGGTAAGGGGACAACTGTTGCAGTGACAACTGTCTAAAATGGCATTTTCCCTCTCTCACTTTTTTGTTGTATCTTTGGAAAATAAATACAATTTCTCAAACAGGGCATAGGTAACAAAATGAAAAAAGGACGAAGTTCCGTACTCTTGGCTAGAGGTACACTTTGTTATTAATCGTATGTTAAGAAATACTACACTAAATCTTCAGCTGTGTTGATTTATTATGACCATTTACATCAATTCCTGTCCAGACCAAGTAAAGAGGATTTTTCATTCTCTTACAGGCATGTCGCGACTTTTTGGAGTTAGCAGAAACCCACAGTCGTAAATGGCACCGTGCTTTACAGTATGAACGTGAGCAAAGAGTTCGCCTGGAAGAGACTATTGAGCAGTTAGCAAAGCAACACAACAGCTTGGAACGAGCTTGCCGAGGAGCACCTGGCCTGTCCTCCAATACTACAGGAATCCCTACCTCTATAAAAGGTAAATCACCCTCTGTAAAATCCGACAAAAATTACCAAATGTATTCATTAAGGTCAAAAGCGATGTACAATTCCTAACTCGCATTCCTAAATCATCTTTTCTTTTACTGATCTTTCTGTTGTACCCAAAATCTGTGGTGTTGTCATTGGCCTCTGTTCATTAAAGTGTTACTAAACCCAGGACCCTGAATTCACTATATCTGGTCTACTACAGTACACAGAACATGGGAGTGCAATTATTTTAGTAAATATAAACTGCTAAATACCTTTTTTCATCAAAATCACTGCAGTCTTGTGACTTCTATCAGTGTCCAGACCAGCACTAGCTAAAGCTTGTAGGAGGAGTTTTCGTTCTGCTCTAGTAGGATGGAAATCCCCTGACCTCTGGACAGTGCTGATTGGCTCTGTGCTGATTATATGCACTCTCCCAAGAAAAAAAAACCTCTCTAGCAATATACTGCCTACAGTTCAGTCTGGAGATAAGTGGAGGTCGCTTGAGAAAGGCAAGGAACAGAGAGGAAAGGATCAAACAGCCTTTTTACACAATGCAGAGGATTAACCCCTCAGGTTCCACAGTGAGTATAACAAGCATGCTTTACTGCATATACAGACTGATTTTACTGTTGTGGGTTTAGTAACACTTTAATATTGCCCATTATGCTCCTTTAGTTTATAAAATTGATTGTGGTAGAAAATTCCAAAAACACTTCAGTGCTGTAGTATCCATATGAAAAAATGGGCTAGCAGTAGCAGTACTGCCTTCTCGCCTGGGTTACTAAAATAATCAAATATGTACATTGGAATTTACACTATTCACTACTCGGCAATATACTCCACTACTGCATACATTGTACAGTATTTGTTGTTCTCCACACTTGTGCACTGTATATGCTGTTGTGTACATTATTTAAGCGGAGTTCCAGTCATTATTGTGTTTATTTAAAATCAGTACCTACAAAAACACTCGCCTGTTCCAGGGTCCAGCAATGTGCTCACCTGCTTCTCTCCCTCTTCTCTCCCTGGCGCTGGCATCTCAGGCTGTGACAGCTTGCGTGTATATAATAGAGTCCAGCATGCAAGTCCAACATAAAATTATTAGTCCCCTTTCAGTCATATGTGATTGCTTATGCTGAGAGATTCTCTTCAATTCTCCATATATTCTCACCACATAACAAAGTTGATCGAGTTCTTCAATTTATACATGAATCTGTAAACATGTGAACCCTTATTCCCCTTCTTCTAAGATAACTCTCTCTCCCCATAAGTGTGATAACACTCCAATATTCTTCATCCTTTCTCTTACCCTCCGATCCAAATTGTCTTGCTTCTACATAAATTGACCTTGCATTCCTCTTCTTTTTTCTTTACTTCTTAAAACGACTCTCCCAAAAAAATAGATACTCATATAGTGTAGTAATCTTGATTATACTGAAACACTAATAGTGTTATTGTACTCTTTTTACCTTTGTGATCACCCCAAACCAGTGCTTCATCCACCAATGTTGTTCCACCACATTTTAAATCATGCACCTTACCAAACTCTCCTATATATCTAGAGCATAACAGTCTCATAAGCCACCACTTCCGCTCCTGTGTTTGCCTCTATCGCCGGTGTCCACTCAGATGTTATCCTTATGGAACCAAACAAAAGCAGACCATAGTGTAGCAGGATAAGATCCAAACTATTAGTTAAAAAAACGCTTACAATGTATAAAAAGAAGCCAGCATACAACACCTAGTCTGAGACCTTTTCCAAGATGGCCACCGCTGAACTTCTGGATAACATCTGATGTCCCCACCTGATGCGTTTCGTCATTATGACTTTATCAAAAGAAAAGGACTCGGACCAAGTGTTGTATGTTGGCTTCTTTTTATACATTGGAAGTGCTTTTTTAACTAATACATAGATTGGATTTTATTCTGCTACACTATGGTCTGCTGTTGTTTGGTTCCATATGGATAACATCTGAGTGGAGCCCGGGAGATAGAGGCAAACACAGGAACGAAAGTGGTGGCCTTTGAGACTGTTATGCTCCAGATCAGTGGTGTTTAGAAAGCTTGGAGACCCCTGCTTTAGATTATAGGAGAGTTTGGTAAGGTGCATGATTTATAAGGTGGTGGAACACCATTGGTGGATGAAACACTGGTTTGGGGCGATCACAAAGGCGGAAAGAGTGTGATTACAATAACACTATTGGTGTTTCATTGTAATCAAGATTACTACATTGTATGAGTATATGTTTTTTTGGGAGAGTCCTTTTAAGAAGTAAAGAAGAGGGATGCAAGGTAGATTTATGCAGACGCAAGACAATGTGGATTAGAGGGTAAGAGTAAGGATGACAGATGTTGGAGTGTTATCACGTGAAGGATAAGTTGGCACAATATTTGCATTGTTTATGTGAGTTTAATACAAAATTGGAATTGGGATTTAAGGAGATAAAGCACTATATGTGGTTTTTGTATGTATTTTTACACGGGGAGAGAGAATTATCTTAGAAGAAGAGGAAGAAGGGTTCACATGTTTACAGATTCGCATATAAATTGAAGAACCACCCAGCCCCCACCTCACAACCCTACCACCTGGGTAGTTTGAGGCTGGGTGAGGGCACGGCGGCGGTCCCCCCGACCCTGCCGTGTGAAGCAACTGGGACCCGCACCACCTAGGCCGAGGCCTATCTCAGCACCCAAGCACCTGGCCTGGCAGGGCCTACTGCGGCCTACCACGACACCCCCTCCCCCCGGACAACCCAAAGGGAGCCTGCTCCTGGCCTAAAGGAGCCCCACCCACACACCCCCATCCATACCCGTAAAGCTGTCCTGAAGCGAGCGCTTCCCACACCACTAAGCCCAGCAGATGATCTCGGCCTGGTGAGGCCCACCATTGCCTCCCACGACGCAACCCTGCCCGGACCGCTGAGCTCAACGAACGACCTCAACCTGGTGAAGCCTACCATCGCCCACCACAGCGCAACCTGACCTGCCCAGACCTGTAACTCACCTGATGACCCCCGGGAACACAGTGTGGAAGAAGGCCCGACTGCTGGTTCTGCGATCCCCCAGCCTTACTACGCCCGTCATCCACATTTGATGCCCACCTCTCACAACTTTCTCCATCTCCACCACCTAGAAAACACCTCCACTGCTGACGACCACCCTTCATCTTCACCACCTGGAAAACACCTCTACTGCTGACGACCACCCTTCTTCTCCGCAAACCAAACCTCACCCCTCTAACCAGACTTTCACAAACTGATACTCGCAGCTTGATTACCCCCGGCTACAACCTATTGACCTGAACTCTACCCATCCTGCTCCTAGGCACGAGAACTCTAGCTACCTGAAGACACAGCGTTGAGATACGCCATTGCACGCTAGACTTTCTGCAACCAAGCTTCCCACCACACCTGTCCGCCACGCGTTTACCTCCCTAAAATGCCTCCCCCACTCCTCTCCTCATACTCCTCTCCTCCATTCCCAAAATCTCTTCTCCATATCCCTCCCCAAACATCTGTTCATTGCGCCCTCACTGCTTCCTTCTCCCCTCTGCGGCACCCACCACCTCCTCCTAATGCTCCACTCTCCCACTGACCCGAACACCTCCACTGGTAGACTTACACGCTCCTGCACATCCCGCTCCCATGCCACCTTTCTCACCCTTCTTCTTCTCCTAACCGCCGGGGACATCTCCCTGAACCCTGGCCCTCCACCTCCTCGCCCACCCACAAGACACCCTCCCACTTCCACGTCCTGCCGCAACCCCGTCAACCTAGTACCTGTCCCTCTGCTCCCCAAAACCAATCCCCCCATTTTCCTGCGCACTTCTGAACGCCCGATCGGTTTGCAACAAGCTCACCGCCATCCACGATCTCTTTGTTTCCTGCTCCCTCAACCTCCTAGCGATCACGGAAACCTGGGTCCAAGCCACTGACTCCACTTCCCCTGCAGCACTCTCCTATGGAGGTCTCATCTAGACCCACTCACCCAGACCCAACGGTCAAAAAGGTGTTGGGGTTGGTCTGCTCCTGTCACCACTGAGCACCTTCCGAGTCCTCCCAGACCCCCCCCTCTCTATCCTTCTCCTCCTTTGAGGCTCACTGCATCCGACTTTTCTTTCCAACCCCCCCTGAGGATTGCTGTGATCTACCGGCCTCCTGGACCCATATCCCACTTCCTTGATGACTTTTCCGCCTGGCTACCCTTCTACTCTCTTCCGAGCTACCCACCATCATCCTTGGAGACTTCAGCATCCCCGTCAACATCAATAACCCGGCTACATCTCATTTCCTCCACTTAACCTCCTTTTTTGCACTCACTTAGTGCATACAATCCACCACCCACTCCGACGGGAACATCCTGGACCTCCTCTTCTCCCATCTCTGCACCTCCCACAACCTCACAAACACCCCCTTCCCTCTCTCTGACCACAACCTCATCACCTTCTCTGTCTCCTCGTCCTCAAACGCCTACCCCCCCAAATGTCAAACTATTACCAGCTGGAATCTCCGCAACCTGAACCCTGCCCCCTTCCACTCCGCAGCTGATCAACTTTACGACAGCATCCTTCCACTGTCCTGCCCCAACCTGGCCACGACTGCCTATAACAACTCGCTGTCATCAGCTCTAAGCTCACTAGCGCATTTAACCACACAAAGCATCAGACCCCGCCCGCTCCAGCCCTGGCAGACTGATCATACCAAAACTCTCAAACGACGCAGTCGTGCGCTGATCCCAGATCCCAACTAGCGTTCACACCCGCTACAAATCTGCCTTCCACAACTACACCTCCTCCCTCCACGCTGCCAAACAAGCCTACTTTCTGACCCTCATCAATACCCTCTCCTCCAATCCTCCCTGGCTCTTCTCCACTTTCAACTCTCTACTCTCTCTCCCCCCACCTCCACCCAGTACCTCACTCACCGCCCTCGAGATTGCCAATGACTTCAAAAATAAGATTGACACTATTTGCAGGGACATCGTTGCTGCTCAGACCTCCACCCCACC